TCCCACAAGGCTAGGGCCTTGTGTTACTTAGCACCCGACCCTGCACAAGAACAGCTCCTTCTTGTAATTGGCAGGCAATTTCCTCACCAACTGTCTTTGGTGGCAGCTAAGGACACTCAGCATTCACCGGTTCCTTTTATCAGGGGATTAAGTCTTTTCATCTTGCAAACACCTGCTCCCCTCCTTATGTGTAAAGCAGGTGACTGCAATTCAGGCATTCGACCGTGAGGCTGCTGATAATGTGGCTAGAAATGTCTTCAGAATGGGATCTGTCTATAGTGCAGGCTTCAAAGAGCAACGATGAAGAGCTCAAGGCTGTGCTTTCAGCAGCATAAATAGAGCTATCTTGTACTTACAGGGCTGCCACTGAGGGCAGAATCTTCTTTAGTCTTTAACTCCCCTAGGAATTTGTCCACATATTTCTGCCACTGAGAAATATGTAAATAAAATGCTGCTGCTCTTACTTCTGTCAATATAAACTTATAAGAGAAGCTTAACTTTGCAGTTTGGTAGACTTACTTGGACTCAAGTTGGCTGAGAGCTTTTGGGAAAGCTGTGGTTAACTCCTGCTGTAATCTGCACATCTTTCCCTGATGTAAACAGGACCTTAAGAAAAGAACAAACAAAAAAATAAGCAGTTTAACAAATACTACATATGGTTTGACTTGATGCAGAAGATTGAAGTTGGCGCTTGATATAATCCAAGGTAGTTGTACTAAATGGAGTTTTGCCAGCTTGAATCAGCAGATGGTGAGGATCTGGCTCATACTATATTTTTGTAGTTTATAATTATCTTTCTTTCTTCACCTAGAACCAGATTCTCCCTTTAGGCTGCAAATCTTAATTAGGAAATCATTCCTCATTAATTTCAAGAAACTCTTAGTCATTAATTTCACAGAACAAAAAGAAACCTTACCTATTTCAGCTACAGCAGCAGAAGCTGGAGCTGTTTGTTCCTTTGCTTATAGGGTTGATGCTGTTCTTTCCATCACCAGCTGGAAGACACTTTAGTCCTTACCCTGTCTCTTGCTGCCCTGAATTTTCTTTATACTCACTCTTCTTTATCTCCATAGGGATCTCAGTATGCTGAACAAGAGGGCCCAGGACAGAACACCAAGTCCAGTCACCTTCACCCCCTCAGCTGCTGTAGCACTGAATTTTTATCCATGAAAGCTGGATCAGAAGGGCCAAACACATAATTGTTCAGAAATTCCAAATTTCAACATCTTCCAAACAGGAGCAGAATAGGAATTTCATCTTGGAGGTAAGTGCAGGAATCCACCAGTAATATCACAAAACAGGTTTTCATGCCTTTCACACTGACAGTCCCTTCTGTGGTTGATGAGTTGAGGATAAAAAACCAGGTTTCCTCAGTAAAATTCTTCCTCTCCTTCTTTGCCCATTTCCAACAAGATGATTTCTGCCCTGTCCTGCTTTGGTGCAAAACATCCTGTGGGAAAATTATCTGGGGAACGTATTGTCACAAACCAGCCAAGGGGTCAGGAAGGAGCAAAGGTGTCTTCCACAGCAAAACTATTTCCTTGTGAGATTGCTGAAAGAGGGGTTTCTGATTTTTTTATGTGATGCTTTAGCTTGTATTCCTTGTCACCAGGCACCCAGATGACCCTACATTCACAGCCCAGTTGCCCCTCAGCTTCCTGACTGAGTGCTCAGATCATCCTTCACACACTCCCCAGCTCTCTGTGTGCAAGGATGTATGAACAAAATCTCTTTTCATCTCCAGGTTTGCACTCCCTGCTTTCAAATGCTGATAACTGTCCATCTGAAGTTGGGCAGGACAGTTGCACAAGGTATAAGGGGATGGCATCATCTTCAGTAAGCAAAGAAAACATCTGTACAGAGAAGGTGCTAATATCTGAAAACAAAATATCCAAGGAGTGCTTTTGCTTGTAGCCACAGTCACAGCGTAGAGAGAAACAGTCCGGGAGGTTGTTATGGAAACAAGTCCCTGGAGGTGCCTACTTGGCTTCACAAGGATGTGCTCTACCTTCAGAAGGAAATAGCTTCAGAAGGAAACAGATTTGCATTTTGAACATCCAGGAGTGAGTGCTGAGGGCTGAGAGCTTGAGGTAAGATTTCTGAAAGCATCTCTGTGATTTGGTGGCATCAGACCTCTGTGAAGTCAATGGCAATGGTGCCACTATGTCACTTCAGTCACATGGAAAAAAAATCTGAAGGTTGCTTAATAATGTCACATTCCAAAAGTTCTATAATACATAGTATTACTGATGACTCTGGGACTTCACTGCTTTACAGGAGATGCTTAGAGAAGGGTTTACATGCCCAAATGAGTCCTGGGGTTACATTTTCCATGTTTCTGTTGGCTTTCTATATTTCTCTTAGCTCTAACACAGTAAACCCAGGGACCAAACACCACTACTGTGTTACACATTTTCATGTACACTTTCCCTTTGGAACTGAAAAATATACATCACAAAAACAGTACAAAGCTGCCTGTTTGCAACAGAATTCCCTTCACACCAATGCTTTGGGTATGCATCTGCAGGTGCACATGTGTCTGCATGAAGACTTTCAAAAGCCACTAGAAACTAACTGCTGGATTTTACCTAGAAACTCACAGCTTAATTTCACCCAAGAGCTGGAAATCTCTTTCCAAGAGCATCTTTATAAGGTATGCTGGGATTATGCTACCAGTAATTTGTCTCACATCTCTTTCTGCTGGAGTCTCCATGCCCAGCTGTCTGTCATGCTGGTCAGGAGAACAACCTGTTCTGAGCAGGGAGGGCTCCTGCCTGGCAGGGGCAATGGGGCCAGGCCCAAGGGAAGAAATGAGCAGAGGAATTTTCTGACGTAGGCTCAGTGTGTCTCCTGACTCCTCCTGAACTTATGTTTAACCTGAGTTTTTTATATCTTACTTTGGGGAAACTTTTATCAGCTGATATACTCAAGCATAAAATATCCCCAAACATGGGCATTTTGTTAGGAGACAGCAGCAGCCTTGAAACATCCCTCTTAAACAGCAGGTTCTTTTGCTACTTTTTAGCACACCTGCTGGAGAACATGAAATTCGAAGAAAAGTCCCTCTTTTGCCCTTGTAGAAAAGACTTCATTATAGTGACCCTGAAACATGACTAAGAACACCACCAGCTTTTCACTGAATAAACTCAATGATCTGGACACCTTTTTACACAAAATCAACAGAGATGCCACCGTGCTGATCCTTCCTCAGTCCCACTTATTCACCTGGACAACTTACACACCAGCTGGTTACATACTTCCAGGGATGCAGAATAGCTTCCAAGGCCGAAACTTTCACAGACCCTAGCCTCAGCCCCGATGGAGCAAAGAGGAATTGGGCATCTGTTCAGGCAAACTCCTCTGAGCTATAGAGCCCTCACCACACCACACCTGTGTCTCCCAGACTGAGACAAGTGGCATTTTCCTACTGATTTCAAGAGAGGTTTTAAGATAATGGTTGTGTGCTGACCCCAAGGGAGATCCCCATATGCTAAAAAACCTTTGAGAAGACAACAGGGCTCTGGAGAAATGGAACAGTTAGGATAGGCACAAACAACTTCTACAATATAATCAGGGCCCAGATGAGGAGAGGCCACAATAAAAGCACTCTAGGCATGGAGCCATATCTCAAGATGACTGAAAACAGGCAGGAGAATGAAGATGCAAACAGATCCCATCTCACAAGCAGTTCTATAGCCAGTTCTGACTATACTGAAGTATGTGGATGGAGCTCTGAGCAACCTGATCTAGTGAAAGGTGTCCCTGTCCACAGTAGTGGAGTTGGAACTAGATGATCTTTAAGGTCCCTTCCAATCCAGGCCATTCTATGATTCTGTGATATGCCTTTAGCATTCTTAGTCTTATGGCTGAAAAGTTTAATATATACATAAAATGTATTCTATGTATTTTGCACCTTGATATTATGTCTGGTTTATGTATTACATGTGCCACATGCAATATGTAGTACATTCTAATATGCATATCATACAGTATGGTGCAAGGCATTAATGGCTGCCTTTGCCTTCATACACATGCAGACATGTGAATGCAGAATATACACTCAGATTTATAACAAGAAAGACTTTTCCTTGCAGGAAAATTTGCCACTAGAATCTGAAAGCATCCATTTCTCTCTCTCACCTGCTGGCAGCCTTTGAAACATTTTCAAAGTTAGGTGTAAGGCAGAGCTGATTGAAACTACTGAAATGATCTGGGAAGCAAAATGTTCATCTTAAGATGCAAATCTCTGGTCCCATGGCAAACCTGGCACTACAGGCCAAGCTATATGCTTTGCATTGCTAGCATAAATTGCTCTCATAAAACCTTGTGCAAAAACATTTGCTGTGCCTTCTATCCATGAAATACCAAGAACTGGCTAGATCAGTAATACAGCAAAAGCATCTCTTCAAGGCTTGCTGTTTATCCCCTCATTTGACAGGTCTGGAGGATGCTGTTGGGTTTGTGCAGATAGCTCAGGGAAATTTGTATTCATGCCAATCTCAATCTCAAATGTTAACACACTTACCCTGGGGCAGTTTATGCCTGCGACTTGCTAGATCAGTGCGATCTTCACACAGCATAGGTGCAGCTGTCTGTGGGCAGAATTTTCAGCAACGTCGACAAAACACCAACATGCAAACCTCCCTCAGCTATACAAATGCTCAATAAAAAAGCAGTGGAGTCAATTGCTCTCACATGCCCAAATACAGAGCTGGATGGCTGAAGCATAAAGTACATCTCATTAAACTCTATTGTGTGGAGATGAACTGTGGAGATAACAAATGAATTCTCTCAAATGCGCCTTGCATCAGAAGGCACTTACCACTATGAAGATTAAGTTGGTACGATAAAGCCAATTAACATCAGGGCACTGGCATAAATAAGGCTGAGATAAGCTCAAAATACAGAGAATCTTCACCAAGCCTGTTGATTGCTATAAACCTGTTTTTGATACATGGTATATGGTCACAAGCAGCAAAGAGTTTTCAGACCTATGCACCTTTTTGTTGAAACACAAACCAAGAGGATCTTTAGCATGCCACGGGCTGCAAAGAAGGCAGGCATCTCCTTGCTGACTTTCCCCTACAGCTGCAGAGCTCACTGTGATGCTGGCTGCAGCGTTTCCATTATTCAAAGGCAATGGCATGGCAGGCGTGACTGATCCCACAGCCAAGGGCACCGCGCTGGCACAGGAACTAAGGGCACAGCTTGAGCCAGATGTTTGTAGCCCCTTTAACTGTTTACTCTGCTGAATCCTTCAGCTGAAATAGTGGCAAGGGCTTCTCTGCTAGTGGAGTAACAAGGTTTCAGAGCAAATGTTGGATTAAAGCAGTCTTCAAAAGCAGAGAAGGAAATTCACAAGGGAGTGGGGATGACAGCTAGCACTCCATGGAATAAAGCAAGAACATTTCTGGCTGCACACAGTAATGAGAAACAGCAAATCAGGACAGAAGAGCCCATTATCACAATCATTCTGTTTACGGTATCACAATTCACAGTCTGGCATGTAAATGCTGAATAGATCCAGCTGCTTGTAGGAAGACGCTGTGCAGCAGCTTGCAGCTCCATGTCTGGACCCAGGACAACAAAATTGATCACACCTCTGTCAGCATTTTCTTCTCTTTATAACCCTGGTTATTGGGAGGAATGAAGTTGGAGTATTTCATGGACTCCAGGTCTTCTGCCTCCAGGAATTCAGATTTGCTAAGAGACTGATTACTGTCCCCCTTCTTGGGCTCAGAGAAGGGTGACTGTTGCTGGCCACAGGTGACGTGGGTGTACTGGCACTGCTCTTCATGATCAGTCTCTCGGTGGTAGAAGTAGTTGAAGTTGGACACGATGACAGGGACAGGGAGGGCAATGGTGAGCACACCCGCAATGGCACACAAGGAACCCACGATCTTGCCACCGATGGTCATGGGATACATGTCCCCATAGCCCACAGTGGTCATGGACACCACTGCCCACCAAAACGCATCAGGGATGCTCGTGAACAGGGAGTCAGGGTCATCAGTCTCTGCAAAGTAGACAGCGCTGGAGAAGAGGATCACCCCGATGAAGAGGAAGAAGATGAGGAGGCCCAGCTCCCTCATGCTGGCCTGGAGGGTCTTCCCTAAGATCTGCAGCCCCTTGGAGTGCCTGGAGAGCTTGAAGATCCTGAAGACCCTGACCAGGCGGATGACTCTGAGGATGGCCAGGGACATGGCTTGCTGCTGGCCCCCGTTGTTGCTGCCGCCGCCAGGCTGTTGCTTCTGCTGCTGCTGCTGAGCCAGCTCGGTGCCCAGGGTGATGAAG